AAAGGACGCATGGAAGAAACCCAAAGGAAAATATTGGATGAAACATGGCACTATGAGTCACCTTCTTATCCAGGTTATTTTTCAGAAGAATACTTATCTGATCAAAATATGTCTCTGAGTCATGAGCCCATCTTTAAAGACTAATTGGACAAGCGACCCTTATGTATCACAAGCATGTTAATGAATGATGGTGTTTTTTCTTCTTGTGTAATAGTATTAGAATAATGTATCTATAAGTCATAAGTGTGTCAGTCATTTGTAAAAAGCATTCTAATAATGTTTATGATGACATGCTTGTAAATAATGTCTTTCTTGTCTTTTTGTGGATTTCCTTAGCTATAAAAGCGGAAGTCTTATATCAGTTTGAGGCATAAGTAATAAGAAAAAAAATATTGTGTGTTTAAACATAAACATGCTCTAAAAATATTTCATTTCTCTCTAAAAGGTTTAGTTATTATATTCATATCATAATTTTCCCATAGAGATGCAAGTATACTCCATACTTACTTCAAAATGAGAATCATTAATGGCGTGGTTCTTTCTTATCAAATACATATCCCCTTAACTTTTTTTATTCGTATATTGTAATTCACATCAAAACATAATTTAGGAAATGGTTGTGTAATTTACGTTAAAATCATCATGGATTGAAAAATGGGGGCAAACCTAAAAATGGTAAAGGAGCGGGTAATTCTAATCTTATATTCAACTCAATTAATGTTTATAGTTATATGTTTTTTTTGGAAAAGGCAAAAAAAAACTCTATTAATATAGTAAGAAATAAGATATGCCAAGACAACTATTTTCAAACAGATCCGATTATAATGCAATTAAACTAAAATGCTTGATCAAGTGATTTGCCTTAAGAACTCCTCAAACCATTGAAATAATACACTTATCTATAATTATAGGAAGAAAAAGTTCCCAAAAGTGAACACCTAAATATCTTTAGAAAATTCTCCAAGCTTATTATAGTCTTCTTAAAGAAAACCATAGATTGACAGATCCAAAACATGTTGACAAAACACGCAAACCTTGATAGGCCTCCGCTAACAACAAGCTTCAATAGTCAAATTGAACCACCTAATTTCAAATAAGTTTGATTTCCAATTTACTGACTAATTAATCCGTACTGACAAACAGTCCACCAAAAATCACACTAGATATTCTTTGAATATACACAACTAATCCCACCAAAAACTACAACAATCATCTAATTCAGGACTAAGGACATCACGCCTAACGTGAGCCTTCAACGACCCTTTTTTCTTAATTCAGACTACAACACGAAAACTACACATAATACACTACATGAAACCTTAGTTTCTTTTGACTATGCAGCAACATAATATTGACTATTCAAATAGATCAGTGCATATATTTACTGCCGACAAAATGTACCGCAGTCAATTTCTTTCTTTTCCAAAAACATTTACCTGCAACAGACCAACCAACCAGAATTATACCATTTAATCATTGTCGTCTATCTATAACTCCAAAGCATAACCTAGGATTTACATGCCATTGGTATACACAATAATTCAACTTATTAGATTGGACGTTCAACTATTTTCATGCATTCCTTTGTGCTTATTCAACCATTTGCTCCATCTTCAAAGTGTTGTTTTTAAATATGTAATCATTTTTTGTATGCCCCAAATACATGTGAATTACACCACAATAACTTTTTTTAGAGATATTTCTCTCACTGCCAAATGATTATGTAAACTGTTCTATATGTGTCATGCATTCATTTTAAAACACAATAGATAAACCAAACCAATTGTTGCTTATGTACCAAATACCTACAAAGATAGGCCACTAAAAAAATGATGTGAAAATGTTCATCGGAGCCACACCCCTTACACACTGACAATATTCTTGATTAATAATTTATTTCCTAATGTCTGTCTTTGCAAGGTAATCTCTTATGAAGAATTCTCCTAAAAAAGATTTGTTGAAAGCATCCATAATTTTTTTATTGCCGTCCCCCTCCTCAATTGGTCTACATATCATGTCCCATTTAACCCAATTTATTTTTCTCTTATCCTCTCCTGCTTCCCATTAAAAATGCTTAAAAATTCATACAAATATTTATAGTTATAGAATACTGTAAAGTTTGGAAACCTAGACAATGTGACAATAAAATACAATTTTAGTATTTATTCCCACGCGTAGTGCGAGTCTATATCAAATTTTCACATCCACTATAAATTTGAGGCTTGCTCATACAAAATATATGTTTCTCCTAAGTTTTATGAAAATCCGAAAATGTTTCTTAGCTATATTTGAAAGTTTATTTTTTGGATGCATTTTAATCAATCAATCAATATTGATTTGTTTTTTGGATTGCAAAAAAGGTGTATGAAATTTATATGTTTCAAATATAACTTTTGGACATAATTTGGATGCTAACTTTCGAATTATAATGTTTCCTTTTATATGATTATTTTTTTAAAACCTCTCACTCAAGACCCTATATCTTCTAAACACTCTAAAAAATCAATGCCTTCTTATTTAATTATTGTATTTAGTAACACAATTAAACTATATTTTGACATCATAAATTTCATCCTAAATTTTAAGTAATGTACATATGCATCTCTTTTTATTAATTCATAATCTAATTTTAAATGCATTGAGGAATTTTTCTAGGAGATATCATCCAAAAGCTTTTAAATTTCTTTGGACGTTAACTTTCATACCTGTGAAATATTTGCTTGAATTTTGTTCTCTTTTTTTATTTATTTATTTATTCTTTTAATGATTGTAGGTATGGTTCACCCTTAATTTGTCAATCAAGCTAATACAAGAGAGGATGGTGGTGTGCTGATAGTTCCCTAACCCGATGTTGTATACGTTGAGGTTAAAAAATAAACATTAAAAAAAATTTACGATACATGATCATATGCGTAAATGAGTCAGTGCAGAATTTGTTAAATTAGGTTTGGAATAATAATTGGAAGTTCTAATTCTAGTTCTGATAGAAGATTAACATTTGCTACAATGAAATATGAAAGAAGTGGTCAATATAAAAAACCTATCCATAACTTGAAACATAATACCATAACAAGAAAATATGGATGATGTGTTTGAATTTTAATCTCCTAACGAACCATGACTCAATTCATGTACATGGCATAACCAACGTATTTTGTATGCAAGATATGTCTAGATGTTAATATATGGACAAATCCCTGAGACTATCATAAATTAAAAAAAAACACTAAGAACCTTTTATTTAAACATTTACAATCATTTGTCATACATAAAGCAAATTATCACTAATACAAACATACATGTTGTTTCTTTTGGATTGACTGTATTATGCAAAACATACAAGTGTCTGTAACAAATTATGTTATGTTCCATTTGAACAAGGATTATGTTATGGCATTTTGAACAAGGTTTATGTTATGTTCCATTTCTCAAATTTGAACAAGGTTTATGTTGATCAAATATCTGTTATACCAAATTTCTGTTATTTAACTTGTCCAACTAAATCATATAACAACAGAACACAAATTTTACTACAATGCAAATTTTAACTTGTCCAACTAAATCATGTAACAAAAGAACACAACTAACTTGACAACTTTGAATAATGCAAGTTTTACTACAACTTAGACACTAAAACAAAGAACATAATACTTCAACCTCTCACAACAACTTGAATTCTTTTACAATAATTTGATTACTAAAACAAATAAAATAACATAGAACATAAACTTCCAGATCTTCTTCCACTTGATGCTTTTCTTCAAAGCATCCTCTAATTCCATATTATTGAGCCTCAAAACTTCAACCTCTTTTTTGACTTCTTCCATCTCTTGACTAAGCACATCTATCTTCCATTGATTCTTCATCAAGGTTTGCTCCTCTTCGCCTCTAGCTTCTTCATAGAACTATTCAAAAAATCCACAATCAGCATTGTTATACCCTATAAAGATTGAGAACGCAAATTGCAATGAATTACATAGCCATTTCAACAATATTCAACTTATCTTATTCATACTAAACCCTACCTTAAAATGTTGACAATCCCAAAAAAGCTTTCCATAATTGTTGACAGTCCTTGCCTTACGAAGTATATCATTGTCTCTACAACGACATAGAGGCTTCCATGAAAGATTAGAGCTGCTAAAGACCCGTGAATCACTTCGGTTTCTAGATGATGATAACAAACCACGCATAAAACTCATGATTAGATGATGATTTAGGTTTCAATTAGGGAATTTTGAGAAGCATTTTGCGTTAGGGTTGAATTTGGGAGAAAATAGAAAAGTGTTTCAACAACAAGGAAGAAGAAGGTGATGAATAGACATTCCACCAATCCACCTCAACTTCCATGTCATCTAAATTTTTGATAGAAAGAACCACTTTGATCCTATTAGACAACATAAAAGACCAATTTGAAACTTTAAAAAAGAAAAGAATCAAAATAGACCCCAAAATATAGATAAAAAACCAAAAAAATATTAAACTTTCTTAAAATCATTAACCTTCTTACATTATAAATGCCTACTATTATAATATCAATATCATGATAAATGCCTACTAATAATAATATACTAGTTCTTTTTAACAAACCTTCTTTAGTTCGAAAAGCTTTATAAAAAAATAAATAATAATCTAATATATTTAACTACATGTTTGACGAGACCTTTTTGTTTCATAAACAACATAAAATTATAAAGTAATGTTCATTCACCAACCCAAACAACAAGAACAAAAAAATATTACTAAACAAAACACTCACCTAACACACGTAGCCAACGAAGGGCAAAAAAGCCAAAAGTGATTACGGAGACTTGAGTTAGAAGCGTCGAAGGGTTCGAAGCCCAACCTAACGCAGGTAGGTAAAAAGACAAAAGTACCCTTTTCTCTTATACATATACATAAGAATTCTCGTCATTGTTTTGTTTCTGCTACGCGTGTTTGTTTATCTGTGTGTACTCTGCCACACCACCACAGGCACAACGTTTACAGAGAAAACTGTAATGGCGAACGCTACCTTGGAAGATGTTCCCTCCGTCGATCTCATGACTGAGCTACTTCGTCGGCTTAAGTGTTCCTCCAAACCTGACAAGCGTCTTATTCTCGTTGGTAATTCATTCATCTTTCTCTCCGTGTCGGTTTAGTCTATCGACATTTTTGTTTTTTCCGTTTGTTATTCAGATCCGGTAATTCGAAATGAAACTGTATTGAAATGGTCGATGTTTTGTTCCGGAACATGATGTTTGTTGTTTAGGAATGTTGATACGGTTTTTAGGGTTTTTTATGCCACTTCACGGTTTTCTCAATTGTCTGTTATGAAGGGAAATTTTCTTTGATTTTGTTGTATAATAGGGATTTCAGTGAGAGCTTGGAGTAGTTTCAGTTAATGCAATCTGGCATATGAACTTTAATATTCAGTTACCGGAGAAGATTATTAAATAAGTTTTCCTTTGTTGTTTTATGTTTTTTTTTTGTCTTAACCCTACTGTTATTCCTTAGTAATTCGAAGTTCTGAGTTCTACGGATAGGTAAGTAAAATTTGGCTAAAGATTGTTTTAATTAGGATTCGAACACGGGTTCGAATCACACTGTTTTTTTAGTATTTTGTTCTGTTTTTCAGGTTTTTTTTTTCCCCCACTTTTGTTAGTCTTTTTAATTTACTGTTACAGATTTAAGGAGTAGTATCCGTTTGGGATTTGGCTCCTTTATACGAGGATAAAATAAGTGATCTCAAAATAGTTAATGAATTAATCAATGATTGATGTTAAGTACGAATGCATAAACAACCGCACACGTGTTGTGTTGGAATATCAACCGTTGACTTTTTTTGTGAATGGTTGAGATCATGTTTGTCAGGATTGTGCTATAACTCCTGAGATCTTACGATCTTGCGCGCCTGCAACTGATCTCTGTGTTGGAGCGTTTCAAAGATTGTGGAAGATGGCGGCGCGGTTAATGCTCACAGGAAAAACGTTGGATCTTGGGATCGTGAGATCCGCGCGAACCGATTCCAACCCTTGACGTCTTAAAGTCTAGTGTTTTGAATTTTCAAATCGTACTTGTTTACATTGCAACAAAAGAGTTAAAATGAAAATTTTAATGCGTTCATACTTTGTTCCTATATTTTCAAATCGTTGCTATAGCATCATTTTAATTTAATTTGCTGCCATATATCTTACACCAATGTTCTTATACTTATTGAGTTGTTGTACTTTTTAGGTAGGCTGTTCTTCCTATTCATCTTAGTCAGCGTATTTAATATTCATGCTTTGAGAATTCATTTATTAATACATATTTGAAATAGATTCGAATATCTAAGTAGAGTATAACTTAAAAATGTTAATGCAGGCCCACCTGGATCTGGAAAAGGCACCCAGTCGCCAATCATTAAGGATGAGTACTGCCTATGCCACTTAGCTACTGGTGATATGTTGAGAGCTGCTGTAGTAGCTAAGACCCCTCTTGGTATTAAGGCGAAAGAAGCTATGGAAAAGGTAACATCTTTTTGTATACAATATTACCCGTGCTTCCTTTGTTTCACAGTGTGATTCGATAGAATTTATAATCTGACATTACACTATAATTTTCAGGGAGAACTTGTTTCTGATGACTTGGTTGTTGGCATTATTGACGAAGCAATTAAGAAACCATCATGTCAGAAAGGTTTCATTCTTGATGGTTTTCCAAGAACTGTGGTCCAAGCACAGAAGGTATTGCATTGTTTGACATCTGAGCTACTCCGTGAGTTTCTTTTGTTTGAAATATTGGGTCTGTGTGTACAAAAGCAGAATGACTTGAATTGTATGCTGTTCTACTACTTACTATAAACCTTCCTTTGTTTCCCTTCGTTGCAGCTTGATGAGATGCTGGAAAAACAGGGTACTAAAATTGACAAAGTGCTCAATTTTGCGATTGATGATGCAATTCTCGAGGAGAGAATTACTGGCCGCTGGATACACCCTCCCAGTGGCAGAACCTACCATACAAAGTTTGCTCCTCCCAAGACTCCTGGTGTTGATGATGTAAGACTGCATCTATTTTTAAGCCCTGCAAAATGTTAATTGCCTTATATCAGGTTTAAATAAACTTTTCAATAAGCACTTGTACAAGTACAACTAGAAAAGTTGAAACGATCTTATAATAGCTGGGAGTCATTTAAAATAAGCTTTTGTACCTTGACTTTTATGATACCTCCGTTATCTAACTTCATGAATATCTATTATTATGTATGAACTTTTTTGTAAGGTAGAAATTAAATACTTAAATCAGTTGTACGAGCTAGAAGCTTTTAAAAGTGTCATTGGGACTTGATTGTAAATGATGAATGAAATGAGGTGCAAAATATATTGTTAAAAGAATTTTTGTTGGGAAATGGTTTTAGTTGCTGTCAGTACTTCAGTTGAAGTGGTCTCCCTATTTAAATGGTTAATTCCTACTACAAGCGTGTTATTTTATAGTTACTCAAATCTGTCTTTTTCAGGTTACTGGTCAACCTCTTATTCAGCGCAAGGATGACACTGCAGCTGTTCTTAAGTCAAGACTGGAGGCATTTCACAAGCAGACTGAACCGGTATGATTCTGAATCCATAAATATTGAATCGTTCGAATCCGTCGAGAGCTTTAATTAAATGACGTTAACATTGAGGAATCTAAATGAAAAAAACTACGGTTGTTGATTTCAAACTATCCCCCACACCTGTCTGTTTCCAAATTTATTTATTACTCCATTCTTTTGTTTTTACATTTGATTTATGCAAGTGTTAATGGTGTGATAAAATATGAAACCTTAGGTTCTGTACTTTATGAAAACATTTCCTATTTTCATTTCCCAAAATCTGTGTCCATTGTTTGGAAACACTGAAAATGTCAACATTTTGTTCATAATTTCTAATCATGCATCATCTCTTACTAGCATTTCATCTTCTCTCCATCACAATTGTAAACGGGACACCGATATCATTCTATTTCAGTTTTTAGAGTGCCATGAGTTTTTGCTTTTTAGATTAGATCTATATGAAGTTAATATACTTATCGACCAGTCTGAAAAATATTGATTTGAGTTCTTGCATTCACGTTCAGCTAAGCAGTTTTCTTTTGATTTGTAATGTTTTCTGAATATATTTGAAACATCTATGGAAAGTTTTTCTAGTCTTATTTCGTTTTCCTATTATTTTTTAGAATTTTCTTTTGTAACTTGTTTTCACGGTCTTAAATAAAAGTATGTGCATTGGACGTGCAGGTTATTGATTACTACTCAAAGAAGGGCGTTGTTGCTAGTCTCCATGCTGAAAAACCTCCCAAAGAGGTGACTGTGGAGGTCGAGAAAGTGCTCTCGCAATAGAGTTGGATCCTCGGGTTCGAACTGTTGTTGATTTTTAGGAACTTAGTCTGCAAATTTCTAGTAATACATTCTGAAATTTACATACCCTTTCAACTTTGCTGCAAATGCCGGGTTTTCTCAAACTAAGATTTGAAGAGTTATTTAAATAAATTTTTTGTTGAATGTAGCATGTTTACTTCTCAATGAATTGTCTATTGACCATTCAGCTTATTTTGTGTAAGATTTTTTACTTTGTGTAAGAAGTTTATTAGCAAACTATAACTTGGTAGGGTTTGGTTCTTTGAGTAAACTCAACATGGTAAGTTTTGTCATTGTTCAATATTTGTAGAACTTGAAACTGGTCACATAGTGTTGAGAATTCTCAAAAGGATAAAAGGGATAAGAAGAGGAATTTCTCTTGAGTAAGAAGTCTCATTCAAGCTTAGATCCCTTAGGGACTAACAAATCCTGTAATCTCTCTATCCGAGCTTAAAGAAGTATCACTGCACCTATGAATCTTCTCCGATTAAACAAAGGAAAATTTCTAAAATGGAAGGTAGAGGAAGAAGGTTTTCTGAAAAAGTAAGCGACGACCATTTATATGAATCGGCTACTATAAGATCAGCGGTGATGTATGAGACAGAATGTTAGGTAGTTAAGAATCAAAATGAAAATAAGTGTAGTATAAATGATGATGTTGTATTGGATGTATGGTAAGATTATATTACATGGGTAACATCTATAATAGAAAAGATAGTGTAAAATAAACTTAGGTGATTTTGAATATATAGATTATGTGATAAGGAGAGTATATGTGATAAGAAGAATATATTAAATAAAGAGAAGTCGAACAATTAGAGATAAAGAAAAATATAAAAAAGTTATAAAAAAATTTATTAAAAGTGATCTTGAGATTAAAGATAGAAGAATAGTTTTAAATAAAATATTATGGTGAAAGTTGATTTATGTTCTGGACTCAGTTTATTGGAACCAAACTTTATTGTTATTGTTGTATACCCATACCGATTACAAATCATTTATATATATTAGGCTTTCATCCATGGGATGTGCGTATAAAATATATTAAATTATTATTTATAATTACTATAATGTAAAAAAAAAAACAATTTGAATATATTGTAATGATTTTATATATATATTAATTAAGCTTTTGATTAGAATATAATTAAACTATATCATTTATATGTGATCAACTTTTGTTTATATTTGAGATGAAATAAGTAATATATTTATGGGTGTTGCTGACCAGTGTCTGGGGCACTGAATAAGATATTAGGTTATTTTTTTGATTACATTTAATTTTTTTAAAAAATTTATAATTAAATATACTTAAATACTAATTATCCTAAATAAATTTAATACATTTATTTTCTCTTTCATACAATACATATATAATATATTCCGTTTTTCTCTCGTACAATATATATAATACACTTAATTTTTCTCTCATATAATATATATTAATGCAATTAATGATTGTTAACAAGTGTCTCAGTGTCACTGTTAATGTTGGAAATTAAAATATTATAACTTTAAATTAGAAAATAAATAATAATAATAACCGCATAAGAGTTTTCTAACCCACCCTCTTCCACAAATTAATTTTTTCAACAATATTTAAAAAACCAATGCATTTTGTGATGCTTAGGGCTGGAAATGAGTCGAGTCGAGTCGAACTCACCTCAGCTCGGCTCGACTCGTTAAGAATTGTTCGAATTCGAGTTCGAGTTCGAGTTTGACACAAACTTTTTTTTAAGCTCAAACTCGACTCGTTATAAGTTCACGAACAGTTCGGTTCGACTCGTTAGGTTCATCTCATTAGGTTCAGCTCACATGGTTCACGAACTTAAAAACTATTTTTTTAAATATATATATTTTTTAGTATATTTGACATTTTAAATAAATATATATATTTTAAATAAAATATTAAAATAATATAAAAGTTATCATATTGAAATTTAACTTTATCTTCGAAATCTACTAATTCAAAACCTACACAACTTTCAAGAGATACATTTGAGAGTCTAATTCAAAAACTACTAAATTGAAGATTAAATTTGTCTAAGATTTGAAATAAATATTTAAACCTAATCTTAAAGACAATATAATTCTTTTCATATGTAATCGAGTTGACTCATGAACCTAACGAGTCGAACTATGTATAGTTCAAGTTCAGCTCATTTAGTTAACGAACTTAATTTTTCGCTCATACTCAACTCATTTGGTTCATGAACCTAGTTCAACGATTTAATTGTCGAGTCGAATTCCGAACTATCTTCGAGTTGGTTTGGTTCATTGCCAGCCCTAGTGATGCTTTAAAATTTAAAAATGAGAATGAGAGGAAAACAGTATGAGAAGAAAATAATATATCCTATTTTTGGCTATTTTTAATCAATTAATTATTATAAATAAATAATTGATCATTTTTATTTAGAGAATTTCTTTTTCCATTGTATGTATTTTTTATTTACCATGTGAAGTTTCAATTATGCCTTCATGTTCCACATCTGAGTAGACGTTAACATATTTTGGAGATATATCTCCGAAACTATTTAAACCTTAAACGCTCACAAAATATCTCCTATAATCCATTTTCATTTGAGTATTTTCGGAGATGTATCTACGAGAATTTTTCGGAGATGCATCTCCGAAGTGTATCAGAACAGGTTTTTATATAACGAGCTATGTATTTGTTTTCAGATGAATTATGAAGAACGATGTCGAATAAAATAACCGAAATACAAAATAATATAGCAATATAATAGTAAAATGTCGTACAACACAAAATCCAAAATGTAGTAACATTGTCAGGAAAAAAGTACAAATTATAGTACTACATCAAAATAATAACAGACTCATACTGGGTGTGCTTGACAACCTCTCCTCTACCTCTTATGCTTCCTCTGCCTGACCTGCCTCTACGACCATCGATGCCCCCGTCCTCGCGCAATGTTTGCAGTACAATAGTACCCCATGTGCCTCCACCACCATGGCATCCAGGATTCACCTAACAACAGACCCCTTAGGAAATATACCCTCGTCAATGCCTGCCCGCACAATCTCCACTATGCGATGACACTGAGGCAAGACATCCTCAATATGATCTAGTTGAGCATGTTGCTATTCTAGAATCTCCTGATGAGCCGGTCTCGACGAATCTTCTAGAGCAGTCGGTATCATATACGGATGTGAGACCTTGAAGAACCACTTGATGTATTCCTCCACGTAACTTAAGTCATTCGGCACTATGGTAGCTCGAGCCTCATCTGGTACCAGATGACTCTGATAATCAACAAACATCTCATCTATCTGTATACGAGGCAAGGCAGGAGGAGCAGGGATATTAAGGTGTCTAGGGATGGTCTGGATGTACCCGAACTTCCGCATGACGTGCTCAGACAGATGAGGAGCAGTGATGCACAATCTGGAGGCCAGCCATCCGGAGTATAGAGATATGTCGTCAAATGACCACGTCTGACGGTGATCCACGTAGTAGTTGAAATGGATGTCCTCGGCAGCCAAGAGGTCAAGATAGACTCTGAACGGCTCGATCGCCTGGTTCCCTCTCAGCGGGATAAAAGCACAGGTAGGGGTGTACGTGGTTTGGGTTGGATCGGATTTGGCCTAACCCGTTACCCAACCCGTTCAAACTTCAATGGGTTGGGTTTGTCGGCCAACCCACAATTTCATCGTCAAAATCGACTTGGACCGACCCGTTCATTATGGGTTGGGTTGGATTGGGTTCGTGGGTTGTGTTTCAAACAAAAAGTATATTTGTTTTATGATTCTTTTTGTTGGTTTAAAAAAATGTAACACAACTCAATACAATCATACTCATTTATAACACTCAAATTCGATGAAACACATTATATAATATCTAATAAAATTCATCAACACGACATAACACTTGATATTAGTATAAAACTCAACAAGACACGTTATTTTCATAAAATAGGTAAGTTAAAAATGATACGAAGCAAAATAAGAAACAACATTTAAAATTAGAATTACGTAAACTCATTCGTCTAGTAGTATTATTGGTGGAAAATAATTTTTTTTTGTGGAAAAATTATGGTTATTAGTGAGATATTAATTTTATATTTTTATTGAAAATAAAAAAAAATAATAAGAAATTACTAAAGTCACATCAATGGGTATGCGGGTTGCAAAACTTAAACCCGATACCCAATCCAAAACTATACGGGTTGTTATGAGTTGGGTTGGGTATACCCGTAAATGGATGGGTTCGAGTAATTTATGGGTTGATTTATTTTGGGTCAACGGGTTTGTGGGTTGACCCACACCCATGAACACCCCTAAGAACAGGCATGAGGCATCTCCTCAGTGCACTCATCCCAACACGCCTAACCAGCATTTCACGGGAAGTGCTGGAGGATCCAAGCCTAAAATAAAAATAAAAAGAATTTAGAAATTAAGAATCATCGCAAATATGAAATAAAAATGATAAAAAACATTCAAGGATACAAAATTATTACCACTAGTAGTGTTGTGCTGCCCGTGGCCTGCTTCATCCTCCATTGACATCCATCTCTTAACTTCGAATACAGATAGGCCGGAAAAGACATCCTCCAGTTGCACTCATGGATCCGTGTGAGATCCAAGAAGTACTAGAGGTATGCAATATCAGTATAGGTGGCACTCGTATCCACAAAAATATAAGTGCCAACCAAATAAAAAAAATACTCCCTCAAAGCATGAGTTATGTGTAAGGCCACCTGCTCGACATCACCATCATCCTGTTGTGCAGCACCGATCTCATCATCATATATCTTCTTCAGGAACTCAAACCTAGCATGAGTACCCCTGGTTCTATCCACCTCCTCAATTGCGTCCCCTGGATCAGCCCCTATGTAACGCCTTGTATAATATATATCTAGAATAATATCATATAAGTATTATTATTTGGTACTGACACCATCAAAAGTGCTTATTGGCAACATTTACATACTTGACCATTTCTAAAACAAAGAAACAACCTA